ACTGTTCACATTTTACCCTTATAACCGGTAACAACCGGTCATAAGGGTAAAATGTGAACAGTTTCAATAGTTCAGTGGCAAAACTTTACAAAAAAAAAATTTAGTGACTAAATGTGAACAAAGTCGAAAGTTCGTTACCCTTTCAAGTAATTATCCCATTATTTTTTGTCCCTTAATTTTGTAAATGCCTCTTAAAGTGTCTGAAATTTAAAAATAACGCGTCCTACCCCAAAATTTCAGCGCTTCATTCCTTCACCTTATACTTCACGAGACCGGTGCCCACTTCTCCCTTTCACTTCCTCTCCGAGCTGCCTTCCTCCACCAGCGACTTTGCCGCCTCCATCTCCGCCGATTGCGCCGCCTCATCTATCTCCTCCGGTAGCGCCGCCTTCCTTCGTTAAAATAGTCGATTTTCCGATTCCAGGTGAGATTATCATTGTTTTTGCCCTAAAATGCGATAATAAGAGATGGAGATGTGTTTTTTTCTTTCTTTTTTCCGGTAGCGCTGCCTTTGAACACCGACACCTCCAGGGCCGCTGTTCGACAGCAAGACATCAGGTATGTGCTTTGTTCTTCTCCAGTCGATGATTTATGTATTTTTTTTTTCTGTTGGTTTTTCTCCAATCGTTTTCTCTGATGCTCTAATGCCAGCCCCTTACTCCAATCATTGATTTCTATATTATATTCTAATTTATGTGAAGTTTGATCTGATTTATGTTATTCTAATATCTGAAATATCTGATTTATTGAAGCATATTCTTGATATTCATAATGGAGAAGAAGAACATGATGGTTTGTTTTTGGATTTTTGTGGAATTTTTTATGTGTTTATTTCCAACCCTAAATCATAACAGTTGGCTATGATGTTTTGGTTATAAGTTTTCATCTTATATGAAATGTTCTTACAGTTTGATTGATGAATTGGTGTATAGTTGTGTTTATATATACATTTAATAAAAATTGTTATGTTTCTTGTCCTCAAAAGCATGAATTTCTGGTATATAATCGTGTTATGGAGATTTGATTAATAATTGAATGTAGACTTTGAAGCACAAAAAGAGCCTAATTGTATCTCCTTTGGTCTGTCTATGGCAGATAATGTTGAAGCCAGAAGAGAAAGTGTGCAAGATAGGGTTTTATGTGCTACATATATGGAATTATTCAAATGGAAAATGTGGTCAATAGATGATTATTCTTGAATTTGTTTAATTGATCAAGTTTCGGTTGTTATTATGGTATTTAGATTGGATTTGCAAGTAATAGATTGTGGTCATTAGATGGTTACTCTTGAGTTGGTTTAACCCATCAACTTTCAGTTGTGATTATGGTCTTTAGATTAGCAACATTTTTCCATTTTCATGTTCAAGAACATATATGATTGTGTTTGTATACATTATTTCGTTATTCTTTATACAAAATTGCAAGTGTTTTCATTTGTATGGTGTTTTTATATCTTTTTAGTTATTTAAAAAGTTGGTTTAGTTATTTTATAAACAAAAACAACACATAAGGGTAAAATGGTCAATTTTATAATTCAATATAAAAATTTAGAGGTTCTAACCAAACAGCATGTTTAAATTCAGATCTTAAAAATTCAGACCCTTTTAGAAATTCAGACCTCTTAAAAATTCAGATTTTAAAAATTTAGATCTTGTCAAACAGCCCCTGAATCTATAACTTTTTAAAAGTTTAGATCTTAACCACATAAAATAAGAAACCTAAATCGACCATTTTTACAATTTTGTCTATCTTTAGTTTCATAAGTCATAACAGTATCACGATATTAGTGATTCGGGTTTGGGTACCGGGTTCCGTCGGATTCGAGCTTTCTCATCTGTATTTGGGGCAAAAACCGAACCACTCGTGAATCGTTGATGTCAAACAGGTGGAGATTCAATTCAAGACTTCAAGGCTCAGCATCTCTTCCCAATTCTCAGTCATCTGGTCAAGGGTTTTTCGTTTTCCCTTATATTCCTTCAATTCTCACGGAGTCAAATCAATAACAAGGCGGAGATCTCCAAGAAATGGCAAATCAAGGTGCGAAGAAGCGAAGGGATGAGAACACACGTCATATGAACAATCTCTTTCGCATCATTATTGCCTGCAATGTAAACTTCCGTACTTCTGTTCCCTTCATAAATCCTTTCATACACTGTTCCTTTTCAATTGCTTGATATATAGTATCTCGATCGATTATGATAGCATAGATTAGAAGTCAAACGTGTATCTGATTCTGTATTGCCAATGTATACGTAATCTCCCAAGTCCCAAGCATAAACAATTGTAAATAAAATTCCTGCTGTTGACATGAAGAGATACATAGAACGATCAGAATTCTAAATCTAAGCTCCTATAAGGTACTAAAAATAGAAAAGATTAGTGACATTTTTGTACCAATCGATAGGGTTTTGTTTTTTCAATCATTTATCCTGTTTTATCCACAATTCTTTTCCTTGTTCATCCTCTTAATCAAAGTGCTTAATGAGATCGATAAACATTTCCTTATTTTCTTAATTTGGTGAACATAATCAACCTACACATATTCTTATTTTCATCCTTTTCTTCTTCATAAGATACACTTGAATAACTTAATCCTAAAGATATTAAAACATGGGTTTGATGATAAATTACAGGTTGTTTATATCTTGTTAAGAGCAGGGGTGTTCTATTCAAGTTTTACATGGCTTCATTGGATTGGCTTAATCTTGACTTCAAGTGCCTACTATCTCTGCTATACACAGCTGGCATCCATGGCAAAACCTACTTATACTGATAATGGAGACCTTTTTGATGGAGGATTCGATATGAGTACTGGTGGAGCTTGTGGGTATGTAATATGTATGATTTTACTTTTCCATCCTTATGCTGACGTGGCAACACAGATGCCAAATAAGTTGACATGGAGGATTCAAATGGTTCTTATGATGTGTTATACTTATAACCTAAGTTTAGTTTTTTATATTATTAAAAGTATATATATGTGTGTGTTTTTCCATGTCAGCATTTGTAAGTTGACATGGCATGAACGGTTGCCATGTCAGCAAGGTAATAATATCAGGTTAATAATTGCTATGAGTGTTGTGTGCAGATATCTGCATGATGTTATTTACATTACATGCTTTGTGCAACTCACATCTATCATTTCTGGGAAGTTTTGGTGGATATATGCTGTGGTAAATCTTTTTTTTATTAACAATATATATAAATAATGCTTTTTTTATCCCCAAAATTTCAATACTTTGTATTTTTTCTATCTGTTACAATTTATTTTTTTGTTTCATTTGTTTAGATACCAGGATTTGCAGTGTATAAAGGATGGGGTTTAATTAAGGGATTTCTCCCTCAGGGAGGCTCAGAGGTGGTGTTTCTTTCACTTAAATTTACATTTTTTTTTAAAATAATAATAATAATAATAATAATTTTAACAATAAATTTGAATCTATTGGGCTCCATTTGTTATATGGAATTGATAGGGAGTTGAAGAAGATGAAAAGACACGAAAGAAAAGAGAGAAGATGGAGAAGAAAGCGTCAAGAGGCAAATTTGTTAAAGCAAAAGCACGATAGAAAGAGACTTCAATTTGATCATATTTTGTTTTGTGAAATGATTTTGAGTATTTAGTCTCGTTGATTGTAATGATATATTTACAGATATATTCGGCTCAACTTAGACTTATCTAGAACAACTTTTAAATTTGGATTAGTTTAATTGCTTTAAATTAATACTCGAATAATGTTTTCAATGTACCAAAACTAATTAGGCCACTTTATATCCTAACACTTGAGCTACTCAATTGTGTTTCAAATTATTCAATTTCATTATTTTATAGTTTCAACTAGTTTGGATCAAATTGGGCGTTCACATGTGGGAGGGATGAGATGATTTTGGAAAAAAACGAAGTCTTAACCAACTAAGACATGAGATGATGTTAAGAGCATTAATATTGAACGATATTTTAAAATGTTATGGATGCTATTCTTTTCAGACAAAAGATAAAATAGGATATCTCATTTACCAATTTTTTAAAGACATAGTAAAAGATTAGCAAAATGTCCTAAATAATCACTGATTTTGCAGATGACTTTGAGAAATCACTATCCGAGTTGTAGCAAAGAAAAGAAGAGAGGAGAAAAGAAAGTAAGGATAGAAAAGAAGAGAAAAGAAAGGAAAATAAATTTGTCTTTTGTGCTCACGAGTTGGAGAGAAATGGAAGGAAAGTTAAACATTTTGTTCTTTCTTTTCAAATCCTCCCAAATCGGAAGGAAAGTTAGGAGGGAAAGTGATCCTTCCATTTCCTTCCACTTCCTTCCTTTAATAAAACTCGGGAGCACCAATCTCTCTTACTTTCCTCTCATTTCCACCCATTTCCTTTCTTTTCTCTCCTTAAATTGAACTCGGGAACGGGGAGTATAGATCAAAAGACGTTGTTTTTATGGAGAAAAAAAAAACACTGAAAATTCAGGTTTTACCGAAAAAGCAAAAAACCCAACCATTTTTTGAATTTTTTTTTGTGGAAAAGTTTTCAAGGACTATTTCAACAACAAAAAGAAGTTTATATTGAAGGTTTAACATGCAAATGTACATACAATAATAACAATAATAATAAATAAATAAATTCAGAGAATTCTGCAAATCCGATCTTTTAAACTCTTAATTTCACAGATAAACAAAATTTCAATTTTTTTTCTTTTTTTTTGTGATAAAATCATCGAAGAACATTTTTCAACCAAACAAACTTTAAATGATGTAAAAATTAAGTTTTTTTTGAACGGGTTCTCACCCAAAAAATAATGTAAAAATTGAAGAAAGATTGAGAAAAATATGTCTTATATATCAAACTATATGTACCGTTTCACGGCCCATTCCGTAGCACAATAAGATTTTTTCATAGCCCAAAATGGCTTTTCCAGCCCATTGATGATTTTTCAGTCCATTGACGGATTTCGCAAATGTTATTAGATATGCAAATTCTCGGACTGGTCTCAGGTCGGTCTAGAAACGGTGGTTCGGTTTTTTTGTGGTGGGTCTCAGAGCAGTCCAATCTTTTTTTCGGATTGGTCCCGTCTGGTCTCTGGTCTTGAGCTGGTTTTTTTTCAATTCGGTCCCGTTTGGTCTCAAGCCAGTCTTTTTTCAAACCGGTCTCTTTCGATCCGATCTTTTTGGGACGGGTCTCGGTTTTTTTCGATCCGGTCTCATGGTCTTTTTGTGCGTATTTTTTGGTTCGGTTTTCGGGTTTTTTCTTCCCGATTTCAGTATTTGTTGATTTTTTTAGTTTCGATTTTAAGTTTTTTCTTTAAAAAATGTGTGATTAACACCAAAATGATAGATTAAAGTTTATTAAAAATGATACACTAAAATTTATCAAAAGAATGAAGAAAAAGAAGTTAGATAGTATGTGAGTAAAAATTGTGTAATTAACACAAAAATTATATATTTATAAACTTTGACTTCCGGTCCTTTTTGAGATCGGTCTCAAACCAGTCTTGGGTCGGTCTCGGACCGGTCTTCTGCCAATCTTGGAACGGTCCAGTTTTTTTTTGGGATCGGTCTCAGAACAGTCTGGTTTTTCTTTGGTCTTGGACGGTCTCGGGCCAATCTTTTTTAGGACGGGTTTTTTTCGGTCTGGTCTTGCTCTTTGTTCGGGTTCGGTCCAAGACTAGTCTTTTTGTGCAAGACATTTATCTAATTTTTTGATATTTGTTGGAAAACTATAAATATGATTAACCTATTTTATCTTTTTTCAAAACTTAATAATAATAATAATAATAAAAAGATGATCCTACTTAGATGGGTGAAACCACCTTTATGACTCAAACAATACAAGCCAAACGTTTTGGTATAAAATTATGTTTCAACTCAACATTGTTTTGTGGGATGAGGATAGAAAAGGGGAATATTTACCCAATTATATGATAATACCATTATTCACGAATCACGATCCATTTACCTTTGTTTGGTTTAGTCAGTGAAAGTGATGTGAAGTGAAGTGGTGTGACATAAACTAAATGTAATAATTGAAATGAAAAAAACAGTTTAGATATGTAACTTAAAAAATCAAATCAATTATTTTATGTATCACTTAATGTTATAACCTTTTAGTAAAGACATCTAAAATATAAACTTATAAAAGTTCAATCATATATTTGTGATAATAATTTCACTTTTTTTAAAGAAAAAAAAAACATGAATGGCATGACTGCAAAAAGGAGACATTGTCTCGGGCCTCCCAGCCAACTTTTGGTCAAGACTCCCGACCCTTTCGCTTTCTCTTCTTTTGCTTTGTCACATACACACACACACCCATCATTATTTGCAATGTATGCCCCCACATAAACTTTAAATCGAATATAACCAATTATTTAAATCTGTATTTTAATTTTTACTACACGTTTTTTAATAACCTTGTTAAATACTTTCCCTTCAACTTTTATAAAAAGCAATAGTTAATTAAATATACACTAGAAACACCATCAAAGAATTTGAAATACAACTTCACATAATCAACCCATAGCATACCATATTACCATATATCAAAGTAGTCATCAATATTTTTTCTACAATGTAACATTAATTTCCAAAAACAAATTAGACCCTTAAACCAAACATATTTACCAAACTATACATCCACTTTTTTCACATAAAACCTTTAATTTAAATACTAAATATATAAAACTAAAAATATAGCACCTTTTTCCTTGATATTCCTATTTTAGTAAATGACATTTGATGATCATCTTGGACCAGAGAGTTCCATGGCATGGGCATCATGGTCATCATCCATCAACATCACCCCAAGCATGCTTGATGTATAGTCATCATCATTGTCATCAAGTTTTTGGACCGTACATCCATTTTTTGTTTGGTTTCTTATGGTGGTGTTATGGCTCACGTGATTATGAGTCGCGGCCCATTTTTCAGCCAAACCGTCTCCTTCCAGCATCCTGAGCACCTCAGACATCCTGGGCCTGTGGCCCGGGATGTACTGAGTGCATAGTAATGCTACTTGTAGCATTTCACTCACATCAATTTGGTCATAATTTGTCCCCAACTCTTTGTCTACTAATAGTTCCACCTTTTTCTCTTGGTGTGATTTTTTCACCTGAAAAATAAAACGTTTCTCATGCTTAGTTGACTTGTACTTTGTGCATTGACAACTTGTACCATACATACCATACATGTAGCATGTGAAGAACTTTTCTGGATGTAAAAGACTTCTATTGTACCCGTTTTTGTAATGCATGGGTTGGTTTTACAGGCTGATAATAATTTCAAGACTTGTACCTTATGCAATAACGACTTGTACCATACAAATTATTGATGGATGTTAAGGTTGGTTTGGTAGGCTCGGAATCTTTTGATGTGCAATAAGGGGTTGTACTGTACTGTACTATTCCCAATGCACGCCTAGTAACATAGTACAACCTCAGGATGCATGTGTGAAGTACAAAAAAGTTCGTAGGTTATGTGTATTTATTAGAGAACGAAAATAATTGGCCATGTCTTACAACTGTACAAGTTGGTAATGCATGTATAGGACTTGTGCAAGTGTACAATTTATAACATAAAAAATGATTGATAATTTGAGATGCTATAAATGTTATATGGTACAAGTATGTAATGCTTCTTAGAAGATAAATATAATAGTTTGTACAAGTATGTACAACACTGCTCTTAACTACTATGAGTGCAACCCAAATGGTACAAGCAGGTAATGCATCCAATAAACCGTACAAGTCATAATGCATGTCTATCTCCAGGACCTATGCATGTACAAGTTGGTAGGAGACACGATACAGATGTACAAGTTGTCCATGCATTTCTAGAATTAGTACAACTAGATGGCCCACAAGCATAGTTGATGTGAGGGTTTCAATTCCAATTGAAGAATCAAGTAAATGCAAAAATAGTACAACTAGTTAATGCATGTAGTAAGGAACAAGTTTTGATGCGTAGAGTACTTACCCATTCGAGCATTGCGCCTTTTTGATTAACCGTTTTCCCAAACTCGAAAGCTCTCATTCCCGTTATCAATTCCAACAACAAAATCCCGAATCCAAAAACGTCTGTTTTCTCTGATGATTGGCCAGTGGAGAGATATTCCGGTGCAATGTGGCCCACAGTACCACGCACCTCGGTGGTGACATGTGAATCCGCATGATCAAGAAGTTTCGCGAGCCCAAAGTCACCCACAACCGCCTCACAAAACTCGTCTAAAAGAACATTAGCCGCTTTCACATCTCTGTGGATAATCTTTGGGTCACACTGCTCGTGTAAATATAATAAACCTCTTGCGGCCCCTATCGCAATTTTTTTTCGTGCATTCCAGTCTAATGATGGTTTTCCTAAAATATTTTTTGGAAAAATATAAATTAAAAGTTTTGAAAAAAAAGTTGACCATGTAACAAGATTTCATCAAGGACAAATTAAATAGAAACACCAAAATAAGGTAGCAAGTGTTTAACCACTTTGTCATAGTACCCACTATTCATCCTACATTTGTTTATGAAAATGTCAATGGGCCCCACAAACATCATTTATCATAAAATTTACGATAGGACTAGACAATCTTTTTAGGGTTATTTTTTACATCTTGTATTCATATTTTTCCGACGAACCTATATTTTTCGACGCGCTGACAGTCTGGTGCATGTCAAACACAGTACAGGACTGGACAATCTTTTTAGGTTATTTTTTATAACGTATTCATATTGTAGTTTTCGTTGCAGTGACAGTCAAGTGCATCTCAAACGCAGTACACGACCATTCTATACCGTGTAACATTGTTGTCATGAAAGTAAACAATGAGGGGTCAATTTTGAAATTGGAAAGTACTATGTTTTGACATTATACATAAAAGAGTTGACTTTGAGATGGTCCATGATGCAGTACCGAGTTGTACCATAAACAATAAATAATGAATGAAAGTACAAACCTCTAAGCCTTGAAGCTACACTGCCATTAGACATGAAAGGGTAAACCAAGAGTCTTTCCACCGGAGTTGCACAATAGCCAATCAACCGGAGCAAATTCCGGTGAACGGCTAAGCTAATGAGCTCCAATTCTGTCCGGAATTGTGATTCCCCTGCGGTTCCATTGATGTCTTTCAACCGTTTCACAGCCACCATTGTCCCATCTCCTAACTTTCCCTTGTACACATTACCAAATCCTCCAGCTCCAAGAATGTTTTTTGAGCTAAAATTATCGGTTGCGTATTGGAGTTCTTTGAATGTGAAGCTTCTTAAGTTTCCTAAGTTCATTAAACCCTCTTCTGGTATGTCTGTCGATAGTTAATTTCAAATTAGATACTTCGACTTTTTAGGTCAAACCCAAAAACCCTTTAACCTCAAAAGTCAAAGGAAATAAGGGTTCACACGTACCATTGATATCAAGGATGCTTTGTTTATGGCTTCGGCTTCTCTTCCATAGAAGAACTCCAAGTGATACAATGAGAAGAACGAGACAACTTAGACTGATTCCAAGAGCAATTGCGACCCTTTTCGACTTGCTTTTTCCTGAAATTTTTTAGAGAGAGAAACTCGGTTTAGACTTTAGAGAGAGAAAGAGAATCGAATTCTTTATATAAACTTCACAAATCACACCTGATGATGGATTAATCTCGAACGATAGTGGCTCAGGTAAAGTCGATCCATAACAACCTTCGTTAGCATGAGTACCACATATCAAAGGATTACCCACAATACTGTTGAATAAAAACAATATCAAGAATTAAAGTACGATTTTTTAATATTAATTTCAAGAAAAAAACAAATAATTAACGTAAAAAACGACTGAGGTATATGATCAATCATCATACATACTTGAAAGTTCTTGCTGAAAACTTGGGAACTGGACCACTGAGATTGTTGTATGACAAGTCTCTGAAATTTGAACATATTTGTCGATGATTCAATGATTTATTTCAAAGGAAAGTTTACAAAAAAAGATAGAAAATAAAACAAAAAAATTAAAAAACTTACAAGAGGGCAAGCTGAGGAACAGAAGCTAACGACAAAGGAATAGCTCCAGATAAGCTGTTGTTATTCAACCTTCTACTCATTACATGACAAAAACAAAAGAAAATAGGGTCAAACATTATCAAATTTGAAGAAACAAAATCCAAAATTTTCATGTTTTCAACGGTCAATTTATCAAACTAAAATTGACCCATCAATGATCATGTTCCAAATAAGGAGTTTTAGAGAGAGACAAAGTTTTGGATAATTACAGATATTGTAAGCTATTTAAAAGACTCAGCGACTCCGGCACGTGACCGGAGAGTTTGTTGTTTGATAGATCCACCGTTTGCAGCTTCGGAAGGTGGCCTATTCCGGCCGGAATTTGCCCGGAGATGTTGTTGTTCTGCAACAATCTGTTTTCACCAATCTTTAAAACATAAGAGATTTTCAAGAAAACACATTCGAAATTCAAAAAAAAAAACAGATGACTTACACTTGACGGAGGTTTGTGAGATTAGCGATAACTCCTTGCAATGTTCCTGATAATCCTTGACTTGGAGCTCCACTGTAACAAAACCCATGAATTTTTTTAGATAAAACAGTGATGAATCGAAGATATATTACATATAATGTATATGTATAGGTTAAAACTTGAAAAGAACATACAGGCCAGTGACTAGATTATCAGGGGAACAAGTAATCATAGCCCAGCTACAAGGGTCGACTGAATCTTCATCCCAATTGTTAAGAGCTCCATGAGGATCATTCAAGCCATTTCTAATCAAAATCAAAGCTACAACTGCACGTACAAATTCAGATCAAGAATTTAAAAACCCACATATTATTTCAAAAACCCAGAAAAACCCAGAAAGGAAAACTAAAAAAATGATAAAAAGAGGAGGAAGAGAGAGAAACCTTCTGGATTACGAGCTTCATAAGAGAGAGAAAGAGTAGGAGCAAAAAGAAAGAAACAGAGGAAGCAAAATCTGAGGCGTCGAAGCATGATCATCATTGAATGCAAGTGAAGAACATTAATTTTGGAAGAAATTTCGGGGGGAAATAACGTGAAATAAATGTGGTTTATATGATGAGTAAAAGCTCTTCTGATTTCATTTGGAATGGTGGGGCATTTTCGTCTGCAAATTTGGGTAAGTCACAACATTTGCCATTGCAAATGGTATTTGTAAAGAGAGAGAAAAAGGAAAAAAGGAAAAAGGAAAGAAGAGAATCAGGTTGCGATGATACGGTGGTGTCAGTGACAGTGAGTGAGGGGTGTCAAGTGTAAATTATGGGAATTAAAGCTTCCTTCAAGTTGCTTTAATGGTTAACATGCACAGCTTTTGCTAACATGCGCATATTCCTTATCCTTCTTTAAACCAGTCTCTTTTGAGCTTTTATCTTTAGTTTTTACATGGATGAAAGCAAGTAAGAAACGTATATTTTTCTACAATTTTAATTTTTCTCAACAAATCCACTTTTTTTGCATTTTGGTTAAAGTTAAAGTTGATGAATACAAAAATATTTTTCCTACTAAATCAATTTAATTTAAAGAAATGACATTGATTTTTGAAGTCAAATTAAACAAATATTTTACTTCAGGAGTAATGAAATGACAAATCATAATCTTAAGAGAAAAAGACAAAAATAGTTTAATTTTTGATAAGTTTGTTTTAAGATTTAGGTAAAAGTTAAATGCAGACCTCACTATTCATTGTCTTCGAAGTCTTTGGCGCTCAAAAGCTCTAAAATAGGTCTTCTAGCTGTGAACTGGGCTGGATTTGTCCAACCATTTAACCTCTAAATATATTTTTCTTATTTTTCATAAGTTTCTTTATGTTTTATTCATATATTTTTGCATAGATTTAATTTACACATAAAAAAATCGGTTTTTATTATTTGGTATTTTTCAAGGAATGTCTACAAAATTCCAAAGAGAAAAACCAATTTCTAGTTATTTTTGTTGGTGTTTATCGAAGATTTCAAATGATGAGAATCCTATCGAAAAAGAAAAAATATAAACATCGACCAATCCATCTTCTCTAGCCTTCCCAATACACTCTTGATATATGAAATAGGCCTCCAACCATAAAAAAGAGATCTCAAGTTTGGGTCCCCTCGATCACCCTCCCTTAAACCTGGTCGGGATAGATGAACTCGCACCACATTTTATAACCTTCGAACCGAAAGCGTACATCTAAGATTGTTTTTTTTTTGTTGATTTCGCATGACTTTTGTAGTGTTCTTGGAGTTTCTGTAGGGGTTTATGTGAAAACACCATCTTTCAGCTTAGAAAATGATATTTTCACATGTGTTCTTTACTAGGTATTCTTTCGATTATTTGTCTAGTCTTATTTTTTATTTTATTAATTTTTTCGCAACATTTTAACACGGATTATAAGGGGGGAAATGAACCCAAAGGAGTCGCATGTAATATACTAATGTTGAAGTTTTGTACAAGGTCTCAAGCTAGAAATGCACACAATATTTTAGATGATGTCCTTCGGAAAGTGGATCGATGTATTCAAATGTACTTTCTCCGTAAAATATATAAATTTCTTAGATAAATATGATAATTTCTCAGCAAAATAAAATTTCTCGAAAAAATATAAGAATTTCTAGTAAAATGAGACAATATCTTGGTACAATGTAATTTCTCAGTAAAATCTAACAATTTCTATATAAAATATGATGGTGTTTTGTAAAATATAAATTCTTAGTAGAAAATGATATTTTTTTAATAAACATGATCCATTCTTAGTAAAATATGACATAAAATGCAACTCTCACTATAATGTCATTTCTCCACGATAATATGATAATTTTTTTAGTAAAATATGACAATTTCTCATTAAAAATATAATATTTCTAAGTAAATACAAATTCATGGTAATATATCATTTTAAGTGATAAATTCTTAGAATGAATGATCAAATTTATGTTTTTCTATAATCTTAAATAAAATTGATTATATTTATTAATTCTTGAAGATATATAATTTATATGTATATTTTATATTGATATTTAAGGCATTTTTAACGCTACCTTGTTTATCTTTTTTATTTGAATAACCATTTACATATATTTTTATTATTGGATTAGAAAATTTTATTAAATGGTCATTCAAACCATCTAGTAAGTTATAACTTTTTAATCTTCTTATAAGTTTTGTTTATACTAAACCACATATTTAATAATATTTTATTCTATACATTAACTATCTTAGATATTTTAATATGTACTATGTTTAAATTAATTAACATAT